ATACATTTCCAATGCACCATACCAAAATTAGGCTCAATTGAAAGAGTTACCTAGGTGTGGATTGTTAGCAGAGAGAAAGAGTGAAAAGTAAATGGGTAAAGATTTTTCACATACTTTTTTAATAGCATTTATTGAGTGCTCAGCAGATGTCAGGAATTCTACTTCACATATGTTACCTCAATAATACTTCAATAGTGAAATACAGTAGCAACTTTCCCCCCATGATATAGATAAAAAAATGAGGCTTAGAGAGATTAAGTAACTTGTCCTTGGCCCAACCTAGTAGGCAATAAAATAGTGTCTTGCTCTAAAACGGTGCTTCTCAACCTTCCTAATGCCACAACCCTATAATACAGTTCTTCATGTTGTGGTGACCCGCAAACATAAAATTATTTTCGTTGCTACTTCATAACTGTAATTTTGCTACTATTATGAATCATAATGTAAATATCTGATATGCAGGATGTATTTTCATTGTTACAAATTGAACATAATTAAAGCATAGTGATTAATCACAAAAACAATATGTAATTATATATGTGTTTTCCGATGGTCTTAGGAGACCCCTGTGAAAGGGTCATTCGACCCCCAAAGGGGTCGCGACCCACAGGCTGAGAACCACTGCTCTAAAACATGCTTATCTACCGAGTTATAACATCTGTGGATCCTACTCATTTATTTTTAGATCTAGGGTCTTGTCCTCATTGGGAATTTATACCTGTCATCTCTAAACTTTACTTCCATGCATGAATGAGTACTTGCTGGAACTTATTAAGTCTGCAAACATTTTTAATATTATTGCCCAGTAGACACTTGGTTATTCTTCCCTGAAGACAGAAGACAGAAGTAATGTTAAAAGTTTCACTGCCCTAACTGGTTTGGCTCAGCGTCGGCCTGGGGACTGAAGGGTCCCAGGTTCGATTCCGGTCAAGGGCATGTATCTTGGTTGCAGGCACATCCCCAGTAGGGGGTGTGCAGGAGGCAGCTGATAGATGTTTCTCTCTCATTGATGTTTCTAACTCTCTATACCTCTCCCTTCCTCGCTGTAAAAAAAAAAAAAAAAAAATCAATAAAATATATATTAAAAAAAAAGTTTCACTGAAACTAGCAAATGATTATCCCTTTAACACAGATATATGAACAGGATCCCAAGATGTGAATTATCTTTTTATTTGGGCTTTAATCATGATATACATGGAATCATGGGATTTGGTCACACTTCAGACTCTTCATTTATACTAAATGAATGGGGTCCAGGGAACTGGTTCCTTGTGCAGAGTTACTGCTGGAGTCTGCATTAGAACTCCTGTATTCCAGTCTCCACTCTCAGGCTCATTCTAGTGCACCATACAAACTGGCAAACTTTTATACACATTACATAACAAATGAGTAGCTTTCTTAATTCAAGGAGTATTCCTGTGTTTGTGATTTTTATGAGATAAATGTTTTATGAGTCTTTGAATTTTTTAAATTTTAATAAATTTTTAAAACTTAAACAGGAATATTCCTGTATCCCTCTGGCCAAGGGTAGCATTCAGATAGAGAGCACTCTTCCAGAAAGGAAGCAGAAGATGGACTTGGAATAGAAATATATCTCCTTTCTTTCAAAGCCCGCACATTTCCACTTAGTAGCATTGAGAGTCTCCTATATGTCTGGCACTGTGCTAGTTGCCTTACATAAATGCATCATTTTTTATCTCCAGAATCCTTCATGGGTTTACTTCAATTTCACACGTGAGGAAACTGAGGCTTAGGGAAGTTAGGTCCCTTACCCAGGGTCACACAGTAAGTTGTGGAGACAAGGTTCACACTGTGGTTAGACCTGGAAGCTCACATTTCCATTATGCTGAATTCTACTCCCATTCATCTGAGCTGTTATAGTTTGGTTTAATAGGAAATTTCTGTTGTTGAACTCTATTCATGTCAAAAGTTTTAAAATGAGCATTTCCAAGTAGAGCTTTCTTTTGAACCCTAGTCCGAGGTGAATTACAGTGTGGCTACTGAACAAAGAAAAAATCAAATTGGAGTGTGGAATATGATTTTCCATTTTGTCTCAAATAAAATCCCAATTTCAGCATTTTTCACAGACATACTTGGCTTTTGACAGAAATGCTGAGTTGTAGGACTTTTTGCCAGCAAAGATTTTTAAAAATTCACTTTCAGTTAATCAAGGAAATTTTCTTGTTGTATAGCAATGAAAGCAGTGTCATCTCTTCCTGGTGCCGGTTTGAAATATGTAATAAGTGAAGTAGGAGCAGACATCAGCAAAGGAAAGATGGAGAGCAGGAAGGGCTTGGCGGCTTTCTAAAGCATTCCAAGTAGGTCTGTGTCATCTCAGCGCGTAAGCGAGAGCATGCGCTTTGGAGTGACCTGTGACTCAGATTCCTGTGACCTCACAGTGCCTTCAGAACAGCTCCTGTGACTTCCAGGTGTTGGAAGCTCCTCTGCCAACTCTCATACTTGCAGATTTGACTGATGGGCCATCTTTGGGGTTACTAGCTGCTGAAAAAGAAGAAAAATACTTTAGAATTAGAAATTCCATCCCTATGTCCTTACTTTTCCAATTGCCCTATCAACAAATTGCTTTGTTATGCGCTATGGTTTTGAATAGTTGTCTCCTACATATTAATGGGGGTATTTTGTTTTCTAGTAGATGATGAAATAAAGGTTTCCAACACTCAGAAACACCACAGACTAGTTAGAAGTAATTCCTTGTCCTTTTGCTGTGGTTCATGTTAGGTATTTGAAATGAGGACCATGGTTCTGTGAAGGAATAAGGACAAGTAATTGTATAACTTACAGCTCAGGGAGCATTTGCAAAGGTGGTATCTCATGGAATCCTGTCCAAATCCCATATCCCCTATTACCTACCGAGGAGAGAGGAGGAAGACACTTGCCTAAGGTCACAGAGTGGGTGTTTCTCCAGCCCCCTAGCCCAGTGCTATTTCTCCCCCACACAGAGTCCTTCAAAGCAAATATTCTGCCTGGCCTAGCAAAGTACATGAGAGAGTGTGAAGGAATGGCCCCCTTGGTCCTGATGTAGGAGGGGGTCACAGTTTTATGTAGCTACATTGAATAGTAATGAAAGCAGTGTCTTCTCTTCCTGGTGCACATGTGTCCCCTTGTCTGTCCATCACTGGGGGAGGTGGGTACAGATGTGCATGGGTAGAATGATGAAACAGATGTGTCGAGGTTTACCAAGCATGCACAGCTGGTTCATCTCTTTCAGGTTCCCTAAAAGCTAGTTCAGCTTTTTCCCACAATTAAGTGATAACAAACATAAGGTGCAGTCAGCATTCTCAGTGTTTCCTTTCCAAAAGTTTCACACCACTTTCAACACTCTGTGTCCTCATGTCTTGCATGAGAAGCCCATTTTTATTTACCCCAAAGCTCTGTAGTCTCCAGGGTAGCTGAGGTGCACGATACCTGGTTGGGTATTTGAAGGGTATGGGGAGTGGACTCTGAGAACAGAGGAGGGAATTTGTGGTGGGCAGAGCGCTGCCCCTCACTACCTTATTTGGAATCTCAATGATCCATTAAGAGGAAGTATGGTAGGGCCCTCAGCATGAGAGCTTGATTTTTAGGTTGCGACAGGATGGTTCGCCTTTTAAAGGGCAGGAAAGGAGTTCAGAGTGAGTGAGTCATTTTTCCAATGTCCACTGTTGTGATTGACAAGATTCCAGAAAACCTAAGTCCCCAGTGGTTCCTCTAAACAACACATATGTCCTTCTAAGTGTCAAGAGAAACAGGTAGAGTTATGAAAAGAACATCGGCCTTGGCTGTGGACAGATGCGAGTTCAAATCCTGTGCCATCCTTTCCTAACTTCTTAATCTTGATTCTTGGTTTGCCTGTAAAACTAAGATGATAATCCCTGCCTGTCCTAATTTATAGAGTTATTTTAGGAACTAAGTACCCAAAATTCTGCATAAACTATAATCTATACTAATAATAGAGGAATTTGCAAATTGGCCAGGATGCTGTTATATAATGACCAATCAGGACAAGGGCAAGGCCACAGCGAAGAGCTCTCAGTATGCCTGTGCCGAGGTCCAAAGGACACAGAGAGGAAGGAGAGCAGATAGGCAGTTAGGAGGAATCAGGCCAGGAGAGGAGAGCAGATAGGCAGGGGGACCCTGCCAGGAGGGGAGAGCAGATAGGCAGTTAGGGGGATCAGGTCAGCAGGGGAGAGCAATTAGGGCAATCAGGCCGGCAGGGGAGGGAAGTTAGGGGGAACAGGCTGGCAGGGGGGAGCAGTTAGGCAGTTAATGTGATCAGGCCAGGAGGGGAGAGAAGTTAGGGGGATCAGGCCAGGAGGGGAGAGCAGTTAGGGCCATCAGGCCGGCAGGCAGGTGAGCAGTTAGGAGCCAGTGGTTCCAGATTGCGAGAGGGTTCCCAGATTGGAGAGGGTGCAGGCTGGGCTAAGGTACCCCCCATGCACCGGGCCTCTATATATATGCTTAAGTGACCATTACAGTGGAACAACCAGAATGACTGGTCAATATGATGTGCACTGAGCAGGCAGGCAGGCGAGCGGCTAGGGGCGAGCAGGCAGGTGAGCAGTTAGGGGCGAGCAGGCAGACAGGCAGGCAGGCGAGCAGTTAGGTGCGATCGCCGGCCAGGCCTCGGGACACTACCCATGCATGAATTTCGTGCACCGGGCCTCTAGTATATTTTATAAGTGGAAAGTGTCATTATTCCTTTTGGAAGCAATATTTTTGATTTTTAAGGATATGTATTCCAAACTTACTGTCAGTTTTTAAAGATATTTGTGATGTGATCTTGAAAACAAGAACAGTTACCTCTTGTATCTAATCCAAAAAATAGAAGATGGAAGATAAAAATAGAAGATTCAATTTTTCCCCATTTTGGCATAAGTGAACAAGTCATGATTTTAGTTTGGAGACAATAATATGACTTTTTCCTTTGAACTTCCTTTTTGTTTCATTATTCTTGAGCTTTTGGACTTACATGTTGACTTTCCCCTCTGCTTCCATTATAGGAAATTGATGGAAAATCCCTGCTATTGATGACAAGAAATGATGTGCTGACAGGACTTCAGTTAAAGTTGGGGCCTGCTCTGAAAATCTATGAGTATCATGTAAAACCTCTGCAGTCAAAGCATTTAAAGAACAACTCTTCATAGTACAGTCAAATTGGGGTCTCAGACCTCAAAAATACATAATGACATAATTTAGTTTCATGTGATGAAACTTTGTAAACAGAATACATACATGTGTATATGTAAAGAATTTCAACCAAATGAAACGTTATCCTATTGGATAGACTAGGCAATCCATCAGCTGACCTGAATTCAGCTAGGAGGAGCAAGGAGAACAGGTGGATAGGACGGTTTTCCTTGTGGAGTTTGTCAAAGAGAGTACAAAGAAATCAATATTTGACATGAGTAGATACCCTTCCCCAGAAAAGCTTTGAGGTCATAAGGACATTCTTCGTTTCTTCATAGATGGCTTTCCCAAAATTCTTTTAAAAATTCAATGGGATGAGCATGTTTGATTACAGACTTGGGGAGGGGGAGAGAGAGAAAGGGATTGCTGTCTCCCTTGAGTTCCTCTGCTCCTTAGAGCTTGTGTTACTGGGATGGAATTGCTGACACCCTTTTTTACAGAGGGTCCTCCACTTGACCTTATTAAGGTTTCACTGGGATATGCTGCGCTTTTTGAAATGAACATGCATCTTGGCCCCTTTAGAAGCAGAACCATAGCTCTGAAAAGAAAAACTCTGTTGTATATTGGGGATATCCATCCATATTCAGCTGGCTTTCACAGAGGGTAATGGTATTTTCTGCATAGAATTGCTTTTAAATTGGTTGTTTCAAAAAAAAAAAGCATTATTTCACTTTATGGTTGTATTTATAATAATTTGTTTCTGAAGAAATTTGCCAAGAGTTACAGATCAAAAAGCCTTGTTACTAGTACAGAATATTTTTATATACATTCCTTCATGATGGTGTAATATTTTTAAAATTGCTCTGATGCTTTGTTTGATTCCTGGTTTGAGTACTTGTTTTTAAGAACTTGAAAAGGTGGGGTTGCTACATCTCTGTTCAAAGAGACATTTGTTCAATCTCTGTGTGTTGATACCTTGTTGGATTGTGTTTTGTGGTTGCAATAAAGCATTGCTTCAGTTTATTCCTGGTGTATGTTTGATCTTTTTTGCAATTGGGATTAAGGATTAAGGTTACTTCTTAAAACCATGGAAAGTTAAACCTTAAAAAACAACAACACTTCAGACATAAGAAACATGAGATTTATATGTGGATTTATCTTCTTTACAAATGGAATTGTCCAAGGATGCCTTGTTCATTCTCTTATCCCACCCAACAACATATTTTAGGTGTTCTTTTAGCCAAAGATTTTATTTAATTTAATTTTTTTGCTGTAGGTCAGTGGCGCGGGGTGGGGGGAGGTCGTGATTTTGGAGGGAACTTCTGATGTAAACTATGAAACTTCTTCCAGACAAAAGCTCATATTCCCATATACAAAACTTTTCAGAGTGGTTGGACTTCCTGAAGTTCCCTCTTCCTTCTTCTCAAGTTAAGAATCACTGTTTTATTGAGTGTTATAATTCAGTCCCCTGTGGAGGTCATTTCTCTAAAGAATACAAAGTCTGAAGATGAGAGTGAAAAACACAGGAATCAGTATAATGAGTGGGGTTCAAAGGTACATTCCAAATTAATTGGAATATGGAGTTTATGAAGTACCTGAAATTTAAGTAGTGCTTTGTTTTGCGCTGTAAGTAGGAGAGGGGGTCACAAAGGAGACATTTTCTATCCCCAAGTTCTCACAGTCTACCTGAGACAGAAAACAGAAACATATGAGAGTAAAAGGCAGAATATTGTTAAGGATTGTGAGAGAGACTGATAAAAGGGGAGCACTACATAAAAGGTGGAAAAGAAGAGACTGGAGCTCATGTAGGAGGGCGCTGGAATGAAGAACTTCACTAACCTTTCTGAAGGAGTTTCCCACAAGTGAAATAGTGATGATGATTGAACCCTCTACCTCAGAGGGATAGTTTGAGGAATGTCCAGGCCCTGCTTCCATGCATCCACCTGGTACCTCCTGTATTAGCTTGGAATAGGGTTTGGCTGTGAATGATCAAAATCACCTCCCCAGCCCGGCTCATGTGGCTCAGAGGTTGAATGTCGACCTATGAACCAGGAGATCTTGGTTTCATTCCTGGTCAATCCACATGCCTGGGTTGCATGCTCAATCCCCAGTGGGGGTGCCTGCACGAGGCAGCCGATCAATTGAAGTATAGTAACCTCCATCTTGGGTAAAAACTGCTGTTTAAAATTTTAACCCTGCTATTCTGGCTTCTGTAAACATTTGCTTGCTTAATAGGGAAAATAACACTACCCCCCATCCAGAGAGGCCATAAACTATGCCCCAGACAGAGTTGTCAGTGCAGGCACCAGGCCAGGACTTGAGATATGGTCTCACGGCCCTGTCCCAGCAACAGGACTTTTTCTCAGAAGGTCTGGAAGTCTCATTCCAAATTTGGAAAACAAAGAGCTGAAAAACATATAAATTGAAAAGACTTCGACCATATTGGGCCTCAGAATTTGAGAAGCAAGAGTTCTTCTGGGCCCACTAGGGCTAGCGAAAATGAATAGGACTCCAAACAAATTTGGCTTATTGATTAAGCAGAGGTCCTCAAACTTTTTAAACAGGGGGCCAGTTCACTGTCCCTCATACATTCCACACATGCGCACTGCAGGCCCGGGATGAGTCGGCTGCTAAGCAGGACAGGCAGCGGTGGCAAAAACACCCGGCGGGCCGGATAAATGTTTTCAGCGGGCCGCATGTGGCCCGCGGGCCGTAGTTTGAGGATGCCTGGATTAAGGCATCTTCTGATTTACAATATAGCACAATGATTCCCATCACTGATGTTTCTATCTCCCTCTCCCTCTCCCTTCCTCTCTGAAATCAGTAAAAAATATATTTTAAAAAAACCACCTGCCTCCCTTGCTCTTACCCCACCTCCACAGATAATGTAAGCAAGACAGAAGCTTATAAAGGTCCAGAATCAGTCATTCCCTGGTATGGTCCCCCATAATGTTAGGGACACAGACTCTACCTTTCTTTTTGCCCTATTATGCATGATACTCATTCCTAGAATTTCATAGCCCAAGATGGCTGCTTTGGCTCTTGCCATCACCACTTGAATTCCAACCAGTGGGAAGAGGTAAAAGGAGAAAGGTGCATACTTCCTTCCTTCCAAGAAATTACTCATAATACTTCCTCTATATCTTGCTGTCCAGAATTCAGTCACATTGCCACAACTAAGCTGCAAGGGAAGCGGAAATATTTTTTTTTTCCTTAGAGACCCTAGGCCCAATTAAAATTCAAAAGTCCCATTATTCTACAGATAAAAGAGAAAGAATATTGAGGGATGACTTACTGTCACCAGTCAGCTGGCCATGGAACACAGGGGATATGACACTGAAAGTGTGTCCTTAGTTGTATTTTTCTCTAGATTTGAACTTGGGCTCACAGTCCTTTTAGTCTGTTTTTATAGCAGTCACCTTTTACCACTATTGGAAACTTTGTTCACTAATCCCAACCTAATTCAACTAAGCTTCGGACCTGGACTGCTTTATAAATGCTTGTCAGAAGAAAAAAAGGGGGGGGTTGGGGGTAAATTAACTGAAAAGCAAACTATTGTCCATCTTCCTCTCCAGACACGCAGACCCCTGGCTTCAGCCATAAAATTCTGTGTCTGGGTGTGGGCGTGGAGACCCCAGTGTCCTGCTGTCCAGGACTGCGTTTCTGCACTAAGTTTTCTTTCAAACTTATTAACCAACCAGCTAGACTGTCTGCCTCGTCTTTGGTCTCTCTGCTCCTTTGGCGTTTGGGGGCCGCTTGACATTCACAGCCCTCTCTCGAAGCAAGAGTATTATCACCATCAATGTTGAAGACAGCTTGATAAAATGCATATTTTTAGAGAGAAAATTGTGAACCTTGATGTCAGCTAGGAAATAAGGATTCTGAGGTCAGGAGATGGCAGTGGGGTATTTTGCAGAGAAATGCTGATGTAGAAGGATTGGTCCATGTGGGATTGCATGAAAAATGACTCCCAGTGGGGCCTCAAAACAATACCTTACATTCTGTCTGGGAAATGTAGGGTGCAGGATTCTCATCCCCTAACACCAATAAATTGTGGAGAGCAGCGGAGTCAGAATGCAGGCCTCGGAACAAGCTGAATGGGATGTAGGGTTTGGTACGTGGCCTCTCTATTTACTTGTCACCTGAAACAGGTGATAGGAGTTCATTCATCTCCACGCATCACCATTCTAGTTTTGTATTAGCTCCTTGGCTCTCTCGTTTTCCCTTAACACCACCACAGCATTCACCATACCTACAATAAATTAGCATTTAACCAATAATTTTTTTTTTAAAAAAAGAAAGAAAAACAAACCAAAAAGAATCAAATCATTCCCCTCAGCCTCCATTGACAACTTTCGAGCAATATTGGCAAATTAAAGACAGTCCGCCTTTCTTACGCCCAGAATGAAGGCCTTGACAGGCAAGCCTGAGAGCCTTGGCAGACACTGAAGCTGCTTCCCTTCCTGTCCCCGCCCACCCCGAATCCAGAGGAAAATCAGTGTGATCAAAATAGGCCCTGGAGAGCGGCTGGAAGTCCTTAAAATCCAGCAGGTAGGCAGCCTTTGTCTCCAGACGGCAGTGAAGCCATAGATGTCTGATTCCGTTTTATTTTTATTTATTTTTTTTCCAGCACAAAAATGAAAGTCCATTCTTTATTTCAGTGCTAAGAAAGCTCTTACGTGGTGAAGGGTATTACAAATTACATAGTAAAATCCTAGCACTAGGTGGAATTTTAGAAAAATGTTTTTCTTTTTTTTTCTTTATTAAGATATTACATATGTGTCCTTATTCCTCCCATTGTCCCCCCATCACCCCCTTCCTCATGCCCTCACCCCCCTGGTGTCTGTGTCCATTGGTTAGGCTTATATGCATGCATACAAGTCCTTTGGTTGATCTCTCCCCCTTACCCCCACCCTTCCCTACCTTCCCTCTGAGGTTTGATGGTCTGATCAATGCTTCTCTGTCTCTGGATCTGTTTTTGTTCATCAGTTTATGTTGTTCATTATATTCCACGAATGAGTGAGATCATTTGATATTTATCTTTCTCTGACTGACTTATTTCACTTAGCGTAATGCTATCCAGGTCCATCTATGCTGTTGCAAATGGTAAGAATTCCTTCTTTTTTAAATCAGCATAGTATCCCATTGTGTAGATGTACCACCATTTTTTAAACCACTCATCAGCTGATGGGCACTTAGGCTGTTTCCAAATCTTAGCTATGGTGAATTGTGCTGCTATGAACATAGGGGTGCATATACCCTTTCTGATTGGTGTTTCCAGTTTCTTGGGATATATTCCTAGAAGTGGGATCTCTTTTAGATCACACTGGGTTTTTATTAATGTGACCTGGGTCTGAGACTAGTACACAAATACACATGCCACGAGGGGAAGCACTTCAGGAGTGGGAGTGAGCATGCCTCGATGCCAGTAGCTTTTATGTTCTCACATAAAATCTAATGTTGGAATTTGATTATTTTCAACCAAAGGGCCCCACAGGGTATCAGAACCACAAGGGAGTTTTAAAAAGTACTCGCCACTCCACCTCCCCTTTCAGACTCTAGAAAGGACATTTAATGAATCGATTTAAAGGCAAGGTCACAAACGGGTCGCTTTTCAGTGGACTCTAAGCTGACATGTTTTCCTTCGGCCAGTGAAGAATGTGTGTGTTTTTACAACTACATTTGCATTCTTCCTGGCAAGGCCGAAAGCTCCCATTTATTACAATCTTTTTAATAATATTTTTTTATTGATTTCAGAGAGGAAGGGAGAGGGAGAGAGAGAGAAACATCAATGATGAGAGAGAATCATTGATCATCTGCCTCCTGCACGCCCCACACTGGGGATAGAGCCCACAACCCGGGCATGTGCCCTGACCAGGAACCATGACCTCCTGGTTCATAGGTTGACAATCACTGAACCATGCCGGTTGGGCTATTACGATCTTTTAATTCCTAATATTTTGTAACCAGCAGGTGCACACTTTTACATTAACTGCCTGGACCCCTGAAGGTATGATGAAATT